CATTCCTTCAGCTTGTCTAGGCTTCTTGAAGCCTCAAACAGTCTCTTCTGTGTTTAATCCTTCTCATAATTTTAGCATCGACCGCAAAACATTGAGAGTGTGTAACACACAAACATGTGTGTGTGGTGTGTGTGTGTGTGTGTGTGTGTGTGTGTGTGTGTGTGTGTGTGTGTGTGGGTGTGGTGGTGTGTGTGTGTGTGTGTGTGTGTGTAATATAGTCAATGGAATGCATAGGAAGTGATGTGGAGGAGGCTGATTCCATGCACCAGTTCAAATATAGGTATGATAGAGCATAGTAGGCTCAGAAATCTGTACACCAGTGATTGAGAGTTGAGAGACAAGACCAAAGAGACAAAGCTCATCCCCCGCAAGGACACTAGGTGAGTACACACACACACAACACATATTAGAAAGAACTTTTTTAGTGTCAGAGTGGTTGACAACTGGAATGCATTAGGAAGTGATGTGGTGGAAGCTGACTCATCCAACACAGTTTCATGTCGAGGGGGGGATACCGACGCAGTATTGCAGTAAGGACACAGCAAACAAGTTTGTCCCAGTCCAAAGGAAAACAAGAAATGAAATGAGAAACCCATGGTTTAATCGAGATGTAGGCTAGTAAGCAGCAAAGTAAAAGGGCATGGAGGAAATAGGAATAACAGGGACACTGGAGAGCAGAGAAAGATACCAGAATGCCAGGAATGAATATGTCAGGATCCGAAGAGAGGCAGAAAGACAATACGAAAATGACATCGCAAGCAAGACAAAGACTCAGCCTAAATTGTTGCATAGCCACATTAGGAGAAAAACAACAGTAAAGGAACAGGTTATGAAATTAAGGATAGGGGCGGAAGGATTCACTACAAATGACAGTTAAGTGTGTGAGGAATTGAATAAGAAATTCCAGGAGGTCTTCACCCTAAAGCAAGGAGAAATTCCAGAGGTAAGAGAGGGAATAGCTAACCAGGAACCACTGGAAGACTTTGAGATTACCAGCGGGGAAGTAAGGAAGTGTTTACTAGAGTTGGATGTGACAAAGGCTATAGGCCCAGATGGAATCTTCCCTTGGGTTCTAAAGGAAGGAGCAAGAGAACTGTGCCTAAAAACTCTCCATAGTGTATAACAAATCACTGGCAACAGGGGAACTGCCAGATATTTGGAAAGCAGCTAACGTAGTCCCGATATACAAGAAAGGGGATAGACAGGAGGCACTGAACTACAGGCCAGTGTCCCTAACCTGCATACCATGCAAGCTGAAGGAGAAGATTGTGCGAAGGAAGCTAGTGGAGAATCTGGAGCGAAAGAACTTTGTAACACAGCATCAACATGGGTTCAGGGATGGCAGGTCCAGCCTCACAGGGATACTTGAATTCTACGACCAGGCAACAAAAATAAGGCAAGAAAGAGAAGGGTGGGCAGACTGCATATTTTTGGATTGTCAGAAAGCCTTTGATACAGTGCCACACAAGAGGCTAGTGCGAAAGTTGGAGATGCAGGTTGGAATGAAAGGGAAGGTACTCCGGTGGATAGAGGAGTACCTAAGCAACAGGAGACAACGAGTCTGTTTGAGGGGTGAGGTCTCAGATTGGCGAGACGTTACAAGTGGAGTCCCGCAGTGGTCAGTCCTTGGACCTATACTGTTTCTGGTATATGTAAATGATCTCCCAGAGGGTATAGATTCATTCCTCTCAATGTTTGCCGACGATGCAAAAATTATGAGGAGGATTGAAACAGAGGATGATAGTAGGAGGCTATAAGATGACCTAGATAGACTGAGTGAATGGTCCAACAAATGGCTGTTGAAGTTTATCCCGAGTAAATGCAAAGTAATGAAACTAGGCAGTGGAAACAGGAGGCCAGACACAGGATACAGAATAGGAAATGAAGTACTTAATGAAACAGACAGAGAGAAAGATCTAGGAGTTGATATCACACCAAACCTGTCTCCTGAAGCCCACATAAAGAGAATAACGTCTGCGGCATATGCGAGACTGGCTAACATCAGAACGGCGTTCAGGAACCTGTGTAAGGAATCATTCAGAATCTTGTACACCACATATGTAAGACCAATCCTGGAGTATGAGGCCCTAGCATGGAGCCCGTACCTTGTCAAGCACAAGACGAAGCTGGAAAAAGTCCAAAGGTATGCTACTAGACTAAGAACTAGAACTAAGAACTAAGAGGCATGAGTTATAAGGAAAGGCTCCGGGAAATGCATCTTACGACACTGGAAGACAGAAGAGTAAGGGGGGACATGATCACAACCTACAAAATCCTCAGGGGAATTGACCGGGTAAACAAGGATGAACTATTCAACACTGGAGGGACGCGAACAAGGTGACACAGGAGGAAGCTGAATACACAAATGAGCCACAGAGACATTAGAAAGAACTTTTTTCAGTGTCAGAGTAGTTAGTAAATGGAATGCACTAGGAAATGATGTGGTGGAGGCTGACTCCATACACAGTTTCAAATGTAGATATGAAAGGGCCCAGTAGGCTCAGGAATCTGTACACCAGTTGATTGACGATTGAGAGGCGGGACCAAAGAGCCAAAGCTCAACCCCCGCAAGCTCAATTAGGTGAGTACAATTAGGTGAGTACACACACACATGTATGAGTGTGTATTCACCTAGTTGTGTTTGCGGGGGTTGAGCTTTGCTCTTTCGGCCCGCCTCTCAACTGTCAATTATTTGTTTACTAACTACTTTTTTTCCCCCACACGTCACACACCCCAGGAAGCAGCCCGTGACAGCTGACTAACTCCCAGGTACGTATTTACTGCTAGGTAACAGGGGCATTCAGGGTGAAAGAAACTTTGCCCATTTGTTTCTGCCCGGTGCGGGAATCGAACCCGCGCCACAGAATTACGAGTCCTGTGCGCTATCCACCAGGCTACCAGGCCCCTGTGTGTGTGTGTGTGTATGTGTGTGTGTGTGTGTGTATTTTGGTCATGAATTTGTGTACACTTTTTAATGGGAGTACTCACCTATTTGTACTCGCCTAGTTGGGCTTGCGGGGGTCTGGCTCTTTAGAATGCCAGACAGAACACAGAGAGTAACAGTCATTCAAATAAAATCGAGTCCAAGGGCAGTTAAAGTTCTGTACCTCAAGGTACAGTCCTTGCACCACTGCTTTTCCTTATTCTCATATCAGTTATAGACTAAAATACAACTCACAGCTTCTTGTCATCCTTTGCAGATGACACAAAAATCAGCATGAAAATTACCTCTGCTGAAGACATTGAAAAACTGCAACCAGATATTAATAAAGTTTACGATTGGGCAACAGAAAATAACATGATGTTTAACGGTGATAAATTCCAGGTACTCAGGTACCGTAAAAATGAGGACCTTAAACATAATACAGGGAACAAAACACAATCAAATCTGCCCATACTAGGAAAACAGCATGTTAAGGATTTGAGAATAATGATGTCCGACGAATTAACGTTTATGGAGCATAACCAAGCAAATATTGCATCAGCCAGATAAATTATAGGATGGATTACAAGAACTTTCAAATTCAGGGATCTCATCACAATGGCTGTACTATTCAAATTACCGGTGCTGTCCCGTCTTGAGGTATTCACTTCTCCTTTCAGAGCAGGAGAGATTGCTGAAATAGAGGGAATACAGAGAACATATATGGCACCCATAGACGCGATAAAGCACCTAAATTATTGGGATCGTCTCAAAGCTCTCCAAATGTACTCTCTAGAAAAGAGAAGAGAGAGATACCAAATAATATACACGTGGAAAATACTGGAAGGCTAGGTACCAAATCTATCCAGTAAAATAACAACGTACTGGAGTGACCGATATGGAAGAAAATGAAGAATTGAACCAGTGAAGAGCAGGTGTGCCATAGGCACAAACAGAGAACACTATAAACATCAGGGGTCCATAGTTGTTCAACATCCTCCAAGCGAGTATAAGAAATATTGTGGGAACAACCGTTGACATCTTCAACAGAAAACTAGATAGTTTTCTTCAAGGAGTACCGGACCAACCGGGCTGCGGAGGGTATGTGGGCCTGCAGGCCGCTCCAAGCAACAGCCTGCTGGACCAAGCCCTCAAAAGTCAAGTCAGGCCACGGGCCAGGCTTGGGGAGTAGAAGAACTCCCAGAACCCCATCAAGCAGGTAATGGAGTACATTCACGTGAATGTTTGTACACACACCTGTACACAAATGTACACAACTTTGTGTACATTTCCTAATAAAGACAACTCTGAACGTACACATGGCATTTTGATGTGTACACCTCTTGACCACTGTGAAGACGCCCAGATCAAAATGCACATCTCTGTATCAACATGTACACACTAGGATCAATGTACACATCTCTGTATCAACATGTACACACTAGGATCAATGTACACATCTCTGTATCAACATGTACACACCGGGGATCAATGTACACATCTCTGTATCAACATGTACACACTAAGATCAATGTGCACATCTCTGTATCAACATGTACACACCAGGATCAATGTACACATCTCTGTATCAACATGTACACACCAGGATCAATGTACACATCTCTGTATCAACATGTACACACTAGGATCAATGTACACATCTCTGTATCAACATGTACACACCAGGATCAATGTACACATCTCTGTATCAACATGTACACACTAGGATCAATGTACACATCTCTGTATCAACATGTACACACAAGGATCAATTTACACATCTCTATATCAATGACAGTGCTTAGACCTGGGATGTCTTCAGGGAACCTTAAGCCCCAGTATAAGGTTTCCTGGAGACATCCCAGGTCTAAGCATTGGCACCAACTCGACCTGGTGCTTACGGGGCGTAACAATCTGAGAAATGTCAAACTGACCCGCAGCTTCCAGAGCGCAGATTGCGACACCGACCACTCTCTCGTCGTTTGCAGAGTAAAGTTTCAGCCCCGGAAAATCCACAGAGCAAAGAAAGAGGGAAGACCATGTATTAACGTAAACAAGACCCGTGACCTTCACAAGGTGGAGGAATTCACTGCGGCGCTGGTAAATGGCCTTCCTGTACCACCCTGCGATAGCGCAAGTGAAAGGTGGTTACATCTCAGGGGCACTATTTTCAACACTGTCATGTCCACCTTCGGTAAGAGGCAGAACAAGTCAGCAGATTGGGTCGAGGCCAGTGCAGAGGAACTGTTATCCCTAGTAGAGGAAAAGAGACGAGCTCTCTCATCCTACAAGAACCTGCCCTCAGAAAGGAACCTACAGGCCCTCCGTACTGCCCGCAGTAGAGTTCAACAAACTGCGAGGTGTTGTGCTAACGATTACTGGCTTCGACTCTGTTCCAGCATCCAGACTGCGGCCACTGTCGGCAACATAAGAGGCATGTACGAAGGGATCAAACAGGCAACAGGCCCTACACAAAACCGGACGGCTCCTCTAAAGTCAGCCACTGGAGAGATCATTAAAGTCCGTGATCAACAGATGAATCGCTGGGTGGAACATTACTCCGAACTCTACTCCAGAGAGAACTTGGTCAGCGTAGAGGCTTTGGATGCAATTGAATGCCTGCCCATCATGGAAGAACTTGATCTTGAACCAACTGTGGAAGAAGTTGAGAAAGCAGTGGATTCACTTTCCTCAGGGAAGGCCCCAGGAGACGACGGGATTCCACCTGAAGTTCTCAAGTGCGCTCGTGGAACACTTAAATCTGAGCTTCATGAACTTCTGTGCCAGTGCTGGAGGGACGGCTCGGTGCCACAAGACATGAGAGATGCAAACATCATCACTCTCTACAAAAATAAAGGTGACAGAAGCGATGTAAACAACTATCGCGGCATATCCCTCCTCAGCATCGTTGGCAAACTCTTTGCTCAGGCAAAGGCCTTTGGTCAGGCTTCAGATTCTTGCCGAAAAAGTGTTCCCCGAGTCACAGTGTGGTTTCCGAGCAGAGAGGTCGACCACTGACATGGTGTTCTCCCTGAGGCAGCTTCAAGAAAAGTGCAGGGAGCAGAGAAAAGCCTTGTACATTGCCTTCATTGACCTTACAAAGGCCTTCGACCTCGTGAGTAGGGACGGACTCTTCAAGATCTTGGCCAAAATTGGCTGTCCACCCATCCTACTCAGCATGATACAATCGTTCCACAAGGACATGAAGGGGACAGTCGTGTACGACGGTTCAACTTCTGAGCCATTCAACATTAATAGTGGTGTTAAACAGGGGTGTGTTCTTGCTCCAACCCTGTTCGGTATCTTCTTCGCGATCCTCGTCAAGCATGCCTTTGGAACAACCACAGAAGGCATCTATCTCCGTACAAGATCTGATGGAAAGCTCTATAATCTATCCAGACTCCGAGCAAAGACAAAAGTACAGATGCGAATCCTCAGGGAGAACCTCTTCACCGACGACGCAGCGAACACCACACACACAGCAGGAGGCCTGCAACAGCTACTCAACCGCTTTGCCGCAGCCTGTTCCGCATTCGGCCTGACAATCAGCCTGAAGAAGACACAGGTGATGGGACAAGATGTCAATGAGCTACCCTGTATAAATATAGCAGACTATGTGCTGGAGGCTGTTCACGAGTTTGTGTACCTGGGCTCCACAATCTCAGACACCCTTTCCCTGGACACTGAGCTCAACAGGCGTATCGGGAAGGCCGCAACAACATTGGCCAGGCTCACAAAGCGCGTTTGGGAAAATGCCAAACTGACAGTACACACCAAGGCACAAGTCTACATGGCATGTGTGGTGAGTACACTTCTCTACGGCTCGGAATCCTGGACCCTGCACTCTCGCCAGGAGAGATGGCTTAATACCTTTCACATGCGGAACCTGAGACGAATCCTTGACATCACGTGGAAAGACCACGTCACCAACAACACTGTACTCGAGAGAACAGGAGTCCCTTCAATGTTCACTCTCCTGAAAAAGAGACGCATACGATGGCTGTTACATGTTACACGCATGGTCGATGGCCGCATACCAAAGGACCTCTTGTATGGAGAACTGTCATCAGGAAGTAGACCCACCGGAAGACCTCAGCTGCGTTTCAAAGATGCCTGCAAACGCGACCTCAAGCAGATGATCATCGACATCAATACTTGGGAGGCAGCAGCTGCGGACAGATCTGCCTGGAGATGTAAAGTGCAGAAGAGACTCCAGCAATTCGAGGATGAACTGAAGAGGCAGGCGGAAGATAATAGATTTCGGAGGAGAGTCTCGACCACTGTCAGACGCACCCGCTTCGGCGTTTATCTGCACTCGCTGCAGTCGAGACTGTCATTCTTGGGTTGGCCTTCACAGCCACAGCAGGCGCTGCATTTAATTAGACTACAACAACTAGATACACAGGGCATAACTCCATAACCCCACGGGATTGACGGAGGCCTACTGACTGATATCAATAACATGTTCTTGCCATGATCAATGTCTTCATCTCTAATTGATCCTGTACAAGATGCGATGATTTAGCACATTTATGGATCACTGTACACAGGGTATAGTTGGAGCGCACATCCCCCCCCCCCCTCATGTTACCGGCGGTCACCACAGGCAGCCATTCTGTTAGCAATATTATTTAACACGCCCATAACTCGACGGGCGCGCGCATTCCTCACTTTACCGTCTGCCTTCCGCTTCTGTTGCTGCTGTTGCTGCTGTTGTTGCTTTTGACGCTGTTGTTTCCTTTGTTGCTGTGGCTGTTGTTGATGTTGTTGTTTGTCTTGCTGCTGTCTTAGGGCTGCATTTAAATGTGTTACTGCTACTCTTGTTGCAGCTGCTGGTACTATTGTTGCTGCTACTATTACTACTACTACTACTGCTACTACTGTTGCTGCTACTGTCGATAGAGCAATTGCTAATGCTGTTACTGCTGCTGGTAGAGGTGGTGGTGATCCAGGTGGCTGGTCCCCCTAGCCAGTATATACCACTTGTCCAGCTCCCAGTGCCGGTTCCTCCCGGAGGTCATATAATCTATATTGATATGTAATTTTCCACCTATTTTGCTCGCCAGTTTGGAGCCTTCACTCACACCGTGTTTACATGAGTTAGTTTGAGCGAGCAGGCGTGAGTCGTGCATCTGTGGTCGTCCTCTGAGGTGTATCTGTGGGAGGAGAGGCTGGGGGGATGTGTAACTGGGTGGTTGTCCTCTTGAAGGGTGTATGGTGGGGGGGGGGGGCAGACTGGAGACATCCACCTGTGATCGTCCTCGGAGATGTGTGCAGTGGGGGCAGGGTGGAGACGTGCACTTATGGTCGTCCTCTAAGATGTGTGGGGTGAAAGGAGAGGCAAGCTCTTAACGTGTAGCTGTGGCCATCCCCTCGGGTGTCACTATCCATATGTGTGTGTGGATAGACTGGCCAGCTTTTTTTTTATTTATAAAAATGAGCACAATAGAGACAATAAAAATGATTGAACTAAAACCATGACAAAGAACAGTACAAATGAACAGAAAGGAATCCACACGGGCAACAAGCATGGCCCAAAATCATAAAGTCAATAACAGGAATATCACATAAAGAGCAACACAAAAGGAACTACAAAGCAAGCATAATACATAAAACATGGCATGTACACAGGAAACACAAAGGTACACACAGGAAGCACAAAGGGTACACACAGAAAAACATACACAGAACAAGCTAGTGACAAAGGAAGAGAAGAAAGAATAAGAAACCAACACATACACTGGACGCACAGAAACCGGGAACCAAGCACAGAACCACACCCAACACACACATGAAAAAAAAACGAAAAATGCAGGAACCGGCACACACGGACATACACTGAAACACACACACAGGAACCGGAAAACAGTAACCACAATCACATACCCACAAGCAAAAACAACGGAACATGCAAGAACCGGGAAGAACAGGAACAAAGTCACCAATAATGACACCTATTTTTCTCTGGAAACTCACTCCGTGGATACTGAATAACATACTTATTCCAAAGCAGCCACTCCTCATCGGAAGGGTGCACGTCCCCACGGCGATGCGGACGCTCCATAAACTCCAAAACCACGTCATCAGTTAGCGGCTTGGCCGGTGGCGATCGCACCAAAGCAGAGGACATCGAAGACCCCAGAGTTGCCTGAGAGGCAGCAACTCCGCCGCCAATGGTACAGGAGCCGAGGGCATAGACTCCGCCCGCCACACCAAGGGAGGAGGCTCCACAGGGGACAACACGACAGAGGCCACATCCGGAACAGCATCCACAGGGTCGGGCACTGGCACATAATCCCCACTATGGACATCTTTCCGCAGGACCACCACAAGGCCCTGGCCCACATCATCAGCCGCACCAGCCACAACAGGAGGATGGACCTCCACTGCGGGGAAACCCCGGCTGGAGAAGAAACAGTGGGAAACATAGAGACACTTTCCTCGGCAGAAGCAGCAGGCACGTGAACCTTCGCCACGACCATTGTAGTCGACACTGCCGCCCCAGGTACCACCTCACCGACACTCGCAGACTCGTAACCGTCCAATTCACCTTCATCGGCCAGGTAGAAGGAGAGAAATGCCACGATCGCTTGGGAACCGGCTATATATCTTCAGAGCCGGAGGTGGAGCCAGAAACACAGGAAGCACAGGGGGTGATCACTTTTGCACGGCACAAGACGTCAGCAGCCTCAACGACAGGGGGAACCAGTCCTACTACAGCAGGAGACCCCTGCCTCCATATCACCTCCCAGCACAGCTGGGACAAACAACGGGGACGGAGAGACAGGAGCCGCAGGACAAGGCAGAGGGTCAGGCTCAGAAGACGAAGGGTCAGGCACAGAAGACGGAGGGGCAAGCACAGCAGATGGAGAAGCTGAAGATGGAGAGAGAGCGTCCGGGAGAACAACAGCCACCAGGAACGCCACCAGCAGCAGCACATTCAACATAGGATGGCACAGCCACCGGAGCACAAGCTCCACCAGAAGCAGGTGCACCATCAGACACAGGGCGTGTCACATCAGCCAAGGGCACGTCCACAAATGCATCCAACGGGTCCTGCTCCACAGCCAACGGCGGGAAATCTTCCTCTCGAATGAGATTCACTTAGGGGACGACTGCCGCCGAGCAGGCAGCAGCGAGGTGGCCCGCCAACCCACAGAGAAAACACGTGCGAGGCTGACAGTTAAAGTAAACCTGGATGAAATACCCCATGAGCCGCACCGAGGACAGGATATCATCCCGCAGCGCTTCCCTGAGTGTGGATTCTAGTCTGGACATCCCTCAGCTTCCCAGAGGAAAGCACATTGAGCCTCACACTCAAAATAGCATCAAACTGCCCAAAATACCGGTCAAGCAGCTCTTCCGGGAATTCAAGGGGCGTACCTTGCACGCTGACAAAAGTGAGGGCCCAACTTCGGTCCTAGACAACCACCGTACCAGCATTGTCTGGCAGGGGAAAGGACCGCCCCATGTAACATCGTAAAACATTCTATAATCTTCCTTGTTATGATCTCAACCTACAGGAGAAACGAGTCTCCCCCTTGAGAGTTATTCAACAAGCCTGACCTAACTAGAAGGTATAGGAAATATAGAGGCGATAACACAGATGTAAAATAGTTTGTTGGATTTAATGAACAGTTTAAGATTATGGGCAGTGAATAAGAAAATAGATAAATGACTGGTTAGGAGATGTAGATACTTTGCTGGAGGCGTGACGCTAGCTTCTGGAGGGCTTTGAGCTCACTTGAGTGCCAAACATCGCAGGGGAAAGCTGCACTCCGTTTGAGCTCCCGTCAGAAAGGAACCCCTAGTGATATATCTCCAAGAGAAGAGAAGTGTGCAGACATGCCAGCTGTGGAATTGAGCTGGGAACGCTGTGGTCTCAAGTCCTGGACGGCGAGGAGAGTTTATTCAGCCGCCCAGAGACATTAACGTGGGCTGTGGGAGCGCCCTTACCAGACGCCGTCAGACGGATAGCGCCCTCGACTAGACAATCTGTGGTAAGCACGATTTAAGCCAGTTCATAGTGATTGCTTGTAGTTGGTCGTGTGCCCAGCGACAGTAGCATATGCTTATTGAAAAATTAGAAATGTTTTGGTAAGGCAGGAAGCCTAAATGAGAGGACGGAGATGAGAGAGACAGCTGGAGGGACGAGCAGCGCGTCCTCTCCCGTCGACCGCCTGAAGCCAACTGACTGGCGGCGGAGGAGGACAATCCCAGAGTGAGTGAGGACTGCCGGGCGAGGTGGAGCATGGACTAGCCCAAAACGGGGGAGTCCACTCTCACAGTATGGAGAGAGCAGATAGATGTTGAAGGCAAACATATTGTGTGATTATTTTTGTTTATGTGTTTAAGAGGAAACATTTTTATTGAAGTGTCGATGGGTTGCAGGTTTGTCTTTGGGGAAGAAGTTGCTGAGAACTTCGAAGCCAGCACAGAGGGAGTAGTTGATGAAACTCCAAGGTAGTGGAGGAGAGGACCTCGAGCTGTGAGGAGAAGCAGTGAAATGCCAGCTGTGGAATTGAGCTGGGAACGCTGTGGTCTCAAGTTCTGGACGGCGAGGAGAGTTTATTAAGCGAGGTGGAGCATGGACTAGCCCAAAACGGGGGAGTCCACTTTCACAGTATGGAGAGAGCAGATACATGTTGGAGGCAAACATATTGTGTGATTATTTTTGTTTGTGTTTAAGGGGAAACATTTTTATTGAAGTGTCGATGGGTTGCAGGTTTGTCTTTGGGGAAGAAGTTGCTGAGAACTTCGAAGCCAGCACAGAGGGAGTAGTTGATGAGACTCCAAGGTAGTGGAGGAGAGGACCTCGAGCTGTGAGGAGAAGCAGTGAAGAGGAGTGTCACATGCTTCTGTAGAGGTGGTGAAGCACCATAGTTGCTCGAGGAAACTTCATGGTGTAGCAGCCAAGAGAGCTGTGGAGGATCCTAGCAGAAGTGGTGAAGCACCGTAGTTGTTCAATGAAGACTTCATGGTGTAGCAGCCAAGAAGTGTTGCAGAGGATCCTGGTAGTTAAACCCAGAAGAACCTGAAGAGATCAGGGTAGTGAACTTCCAGCTGTGGGAGGGAAGTTCTAAATGATTACTTGTAGGGAGGTAATCGAGTGTTTGGTTGTCATTAGCATGCAAGACGCAGTGAAAGGTGGGTGATTGTTTGCATTCTTATGTCAAGGAGTGTCTTATACTGAAGTTTAGAGTTATAATCGTAGGCTGGATTACCTACAGATGTATGTGTTCTAGGACTGATAGGGTGATCGACTGATCATTGTTGTGTATCAAGGAACATTTATACTGATATACGTATGTTATTGCATTCATACGCTGATTTTCCTTGTACATGTTTACAGATATATATTCTCTTGCTGATGGTGCAACATTGTATTATAAGACTTTTCCTACTTGAGGAGGTTGATAATATTAGGTGGTGAATCAGGAGATAGGATACCACTTGATAAGCTGAGGATAGAGTTCTGATGGTGTTGGAGTGCAACCTGACTGAAATAGTGTAGAGTGTAGGATTCATTATTATTATATGTGTATATGTATTGTGTATGTGCTCTGTCCAGTAAATGTATTCAAATTTGCTGGTGTTTGCCCTTGTCCTAGTGAGGCTTCCCAGGAAGTAGTGAGAGGAGAGAGAGCGAGGAGAGAGAGAGAGAAGAGAGAGAGAGAGAGAGAGAGAGAGAGAGAGAGAGAGAGAGAGAGAGAGAGAGAGAGGAGAGAGAGAGAGAGAGAGAGGAGAGAGAGAGAGAGAGAGAGAGAGAGAGAGAGAGAGAGAGAGGAGGAGAGAGAGAGAGAGGAGAGAGAGAGAGAGAGAGAGAGAGAGAGAGAGAGGAGAGAGAGAGAGAGAGAGAGAGAGAGAGAGAGAGAGAGAGAGAGAGAGAGAGAGAGAGAGAGAGAGAGAGAGAGAGAAAGAACCACCGCTGTGGACAGGGTAGAACAGAAAACTAATAAGTCAAAGGGGATTGAGGAGATCATATCACATAAGGAGAGAGTGGGGAGTCACAGCGGCTCGAGTAGGTGTGTGTGCACGTGACAACGAGGCTAAGTATTGGAGCCGCATCCCCTAAACGTGTGACGTTGAGCCCCTCTCCAAGAGCCAGAAGCGCCCAGGGTGATCTCCTGGTAAAGTATAAGCACTCTGCCGAGTTGTGGGTTGGGTTGTCCAGAAAGAAGGATCAACGACGACAACACCACCAACCAACCCACAATCTATAATATCCTCCTCTGCAAACTTCACAAAAGCCTGATGCGAAGATACCAATACCCACACTATAGATCACAGCCACGGAGACACACAGCATATCACACATAACTAATTCCGCGGCAGGATAATCGGCCCGTCCAGTAAATTCCCACCGAACGAGCCCCCAAAACGGGGAATGAGAGGCCTCCCCCTATCATGCAGGCCACATCAACAAATGACGAGTCTGATGGGGTGATATGTTGGGAATCAAGAAATCCTTTCCCCCTCAGAGTTTAGGTAGCTAAATTAGTGGAAGTTGTGGAAAGCATTTTTCTCTACCCCAATCATCTAAGCTCAAGCCTGGCCTCAGGCCGGGCTCGGGGAGTAGAAGAACTCCAAGAGCCCCATGAAGCAGGTATCAAGCAGGCATGCCAACAATAAGAGAAGAAGCGGAGGGAACATACCAACCAATGGTTTAAAAGACTGTCATAAAAGCAAAAACGAAAATTAGGAATGAATGGAAGAAATACAGAGGTCAGAGAATAGTAAAAAATCGGGATAAATGAAACAGGGATAGGAATGAATACAAAATTACACAAATATGGCTGGAAAGAAACTATGAACACAGTCTAAAGTCGAAAGAAACTATTAAACATCGCCACAGTCCACGTGGTGTAGTGGTAACACACTCGCCTGGCGTTTCTCGAGCGCTTTGGCCTGGGTTCGTATCCTGGCCAGGGAGGATTTACTGGACGCCAATCCTTAACTGTAGCCTCTGTTCACCCAGCAGAAAATGGGTACCTGATTGTTAAACGATTTGGCAGGAAAATTTGGATAAAAGACCTACCCGAATCGTTATGCGTGCAAGACACGCATAACGTTTCGTTATGTTATCATATATTGAGATAACAGAAATATCAGGCTGTACAAGAATGTAAG